ATTTGCTCGGGGTCCGCTTACGTACTCAGACCTGCTCTGTGTATATGAGCTATCAGCTGACTGTGTATGGTTTCTAATAGGAAGCTGGATCATATGATATAGCTGGAATCGAGAGTCTGACTTTGTGGCCTGCCTGAACTAACGCTATGCTTATTTTCTCACAATAACTCATTCATATAATGATCTATTCCAAGTGAGTTTACTTTAATAAATAAGTGAGCTAATCAATATATAAATGTTTAAGATCTCACCCCAGGGAAGGAGAAGTTGCGTGATGACGCTTGACAGAGTTACTTGGATAATGTCCGCCCTGTTGCCATTGCCGCTTCTGCACCCGGCGACGAGAGTGAATGTACCACTTGTCCACATCCTGACGTGACTGGTTGGCGTGTTGTTTCTTGAACCAGTCACTAGGCAGTGTCAGAGTTACCACACACAGCCCTAGAGGAGGCTGGGAAACAGGAAAGAGACAAGAGAGAGACAAAAAGAGAAGCAGAGGGACATACTGAAGTGATCAAGAGAGAAAGATGGAGAGAAAACACATAGGTTGAGAGATAATCTGGTTTTCACCTGTGTGACACAGAAGGCCTTGTGCTCTTCTGTCTCCTTGAAGGCATGCAGGGTGATGCAGGTCCCTCGGGTGCTCGTGTCGCCCCGCTTGTGGAACAGCGTCCTCACCTTGAACTTCTCCTGTCCTCCCTCATCCCTCTCTCTCTCCACATGCTCGGAGAGGACAGAGGCGGACAGAGGGGGAGAGAGAGGGAGGACAGGCTCTGATATGAGCTGTGGAAAGAGGAGAAAGGTATGTAGCTAGTTAGCTTCATTTGTTGATTGGACTTGACCCTTCCTAAGTCCAGCCCCTTTTTTGCTCTGTGCTCCAATAACATAAGCTCAACATAATAAGTTGAGCAAACCTCGGTCATATTTCTCCTTTCCTATACTTAGATATGCTATATGCTAGGCTAATCTATATTGAAAAGATAACCACCTTTTGAAGATGGTTAAAAAATAAAAGCAACATATATAAATATAGGTAATGTTATCAAACTGGAAGCTTAATAGCTAGCTATTACTTCATCAAAGTAAGCTAATTAACAACAATATTTGGCTAGTTAGTTACAGCTGAAAACTAATGTTAGCAAAATGTTGAACCAAACTAAATTTTGAAGATGGTTAAAAGATGAAAGCGACATTCACATCCTCCTTTAACTAGGATTTTTTTAACTTTAGTTCTTAGATGTGACTAGCTACGATGAATGTGGATTAGATAACTAGCTAGCTAACCATTTATGTAGACTGCCTAGCTAGTTAGTGTTTTGCTAATATTAACTCACTCAGCCTAGCACATATCATATCTAAGTACAGGAAAGGAGAAATTGACTTGCTCAACTGTTATTGGAGCACAGAGCAAAAAGGGGCGGAACTTGGAAGTGTCAATATACATTGCCATCTTCAGTCAACTCACCCACACATCTGTCCTCTCCGTTTCTTCTTACCTGCGTTACTGAGTAAGGGCCAAATGAGGCCTGGAGGCCTGGTCTGGGGGCCCGGCCAGGTGGGGGCACCATGAACAGACTCTGGGAGAAGGAAAAGGGGCTGGAGTTGGAGAAAAGAGGGCCCAGCTCTGCCTGGGACAAAGGGAGGAACTGCCATGGAGGAGAGAGGACTGACATGTGGACTGGCAGGGAGAGGGGGAGTAAAGGCTGCAGGAGGGATGGAGGGACTGACGGAGTATAGAAGGAGGCGTTAGAGATTCAGACATATTAGAAAATCAAGAAAACACAAACCTTGCTCCACAAATGTATCCTCAAAATGCAATAAATAAAATAATAATACGTTTCTGATGTGAGTAATAAAAGCCTTGCCCATGGGCACGGACACACAGATTACAAAACACAGATTATGAATTTGTAAAGCGAGAGTACAGATTTTCACAAGGCTCTTTTTATTTTCCTCAGTTGACCTCAGGGGGCCTCAATACAGATAAACACCTGCAGGATTCAACACAGAAACATACAACTACTTTGGAGCCAGTCCTGGCCCAGTAAGCACAGTGTGATGTGTGTTGTACTTTCCCTGTACTTAAAACTTATCAGTATATATAAAACAATATATTTTAAATAAAACTATTCAAGTAGTTTTGACTATGTGATTTTGGTGTACATGAAAAAGTAATCATTTAAATTAAGTTAAATATCACATGCATGTGAATTACCTTTACCAAGAAAATTAAATTAATCTAACAAAGTAATATCAGTAGTATTAGTTAACTCAACATGATTGTATTGGGTTCATGTTAAATAATGTTAAATGATGTAAATAATAGTGTTCATTCAACTTAATAAAGTCTTAAAGTTTATTCAACTCAAAAAGTCCAATGCAACCACTTACCTCACTTTTATTACGTTAAAGAAAAGCATGACTTTTTTTTAAGTGAACAGCACTAAAGTTGGAATGAAGATTTCCACTCCACAAAGAAATACACAAGATGATGCAAAAGTCCACCCTTCTGTGACTCTCTACCAGAGGCAAAAAAACAAAAACAAAACCCACAGTAAAGACTCACGTTCTATGAAAATCCAAAAGAGCGGCAGCATGCCAACTCCTCCTCTGCCCCACCGCGCACTGGCCCAGCTGACATCTGCCATCCCTGCAGACCTGATAAACACAGTATCATGACAAAAAGTCACTGAGAATTAAATCAATATGAAACTATTCTGCATTAAATGTTGTCATCCAGTAGCAACATTCAGTACCAGTGCAGGAATTTTTAAAGGTGCACTGTGTAACATTTAGGGGGATCTATTGGCAGAAATGGAATATAATATTCATAAGAGTAAGTTGCCTTCTATGAAGTACACCATGTTGAACAACCATGTTTCTACAGAACGGACAAACCAAACATCAGCTCTAGATGGGGCCTTTCACATTTTTTGGCCACCATAGTTTCTCCTACACACTTCACAGTCCAATCTCATTCCCAGATTGTCAAATACAGACGCCAGCGGTGTTCAGTCAATTGCAATTAGCAAATTCACCACTAGATGCCACTAAATCTTACACACTGGTGCTTTAATAACAATTAATACATAATACATAATTAATACATAATAACAATATGGTTAATAAATAATTAACCATATTTCCCTAATCTTTAGGACGTAGAGTTAAGTTGCCATGAACTCTAACGTTTACCAGGTGCCTCTGGCTATTATATTTTACTTAATGCTGTTTCATCGCTGAATATTGACGAAACAGTTTCCACTTGAGTTTACTCTCTTCTTCTGTAGCTTTCAACAGATCACATATTAATTCATCAGCAGATTAATTTTTGTTTCCGATTGAACTGTCAAATTCAACTTTTAAGACAGCGTGGATGGTCTTAAAAGTGCTCTGAATATTGAAAATTTGAATAACTTTTCAATTGCAAATGAAGACTGTGTGATAAGTCCAGAAAAAGTCAAATCAATTGTTTTATCAACTGATGTTTCCATATATACATGTGTATGCAAAATAGTTGCAGCCACTGTATACATTGATGTAGTTATGGTAGCCTAATGAACTGAACAAAGCACCCCTTCCCCATTTTCTTATAACAGTTTGATTGGAATCATTCATTCACACAACAGACTTTTGTAAAACGATCATGATATGATTCCACTGGAAATACTACTTGAATTATCACCAGGATCAAAAACATTTTACACATATTTTACATGTATTTGTCTGCTACGTACTATTGTAGTATTCCAAATGAAATGAAAAAAGACTTTACTGTCTGCACATCAAGTTTTTATTTTCAACTTGTTGACCACTGAACTAATTAGTCGCATACAGCATCAACACTGCTGATCCAGTCACTCACAAGAAGATTGGTTTTGAAATATTGTTAGAAAGTGTTACTTTAAACACTAGCCAACTGTCAAAAATCAATATAAAGTAAATCAAATGTACCCCCATTAAACATTTTGTTCAGCCATGTACCCATGGCATTGAAGTTGCATTGAACTGCATTTTATTGATAAGTTGCACATTTAGTGAGAAACATAAGCTCTTTCTTGGTTGCAGGGAGGTGACTGCAGTTGACAATTGATCAAGCTGCAGTTATTACTATCACATATATTCAACTTATAGTACAATTATTTTAGGAATTATGCATGACTGATATTTATTTATTTGAGAAACACTGAGTTAGCTCACAGTCAGGGTTGGATATACAGTCAGGGCGTCCTGGATGCGGAGGCCTGATGTAGTCGAAACAAAGTAAGAGCTAAGTGGGAAAGTTCATTCTTAGCAAGTGGGTACAAGCGAAAACTTCTTTTATTAAGATGTGTTGTCAGGAAATCAATCAGAGCCATTACATGTAGTATCATGAACACTATATAGGCTAACAGTATTTTACAGAGTGAACATACACACACATACAGTCACTCACACACCTCAGCTGGGTGGAACTGGGTTAAATTTGGTCACTGTCTGTTCTGCACAGGATTAAAGACCCCACAGTAGAACACAGCTAAATATATACAATGTGTATGCCATGTACATGTTCCCATGTGACAACAATCACTCTGAACAGGTCACATGATACATAAGGTGCAGACACACACTCTCTCACTCCCTTACACACGTTTACTTCACTTTTGCGGACATTGCATAGACATAGACATTCATTCATTCATTAAACAAAATGCATTCGGTGTGTAATGGCTACACAATTTTACAAATGTGGAATGAAATAATCACTTTAGGCCTACAATGATGAGAGATGAAAATAATATATCTTTATATATATATATATATATATTTGTTTTTTTGTTTTTTTTTAACTGGGAGCCAGTTAAGACAAGCTAAAGAGCTGTAAGTTACCTTACTCCTGCTCTTACCCTTGCCCTAATTTACTTGTCTCCTTTTTTAGTTTGTACACTTCTCCCTTGATCCTCTCCATACGGTAGCCTGCTGTGCTGACATTGAGTAGATAACCAGAGCCAAAGTCTTCCAAATGCTTTTAGGTATTTGTAGTCCCCTGACCTAACCCTAACCAGCACTTGCCTAACCCTGACCCTAAGCCTGGCACTAACCCTGGCGACATAGCTTTTTTCCCCAATCAGACAAGCAAATTAACAAACTAACGGGTCTTTAGTCTGAAATGTGTCCNNTCAGACTCACACACACGCACACACTCCTGTCCTTTTACCCACCTGTATCTATTTCAGCTCCAGATTACATCTTTTCCTCGAGGCATTTTAAGCAGGTTTACAAATAAATTTCACAATGAAATAAAATGAAAAATAAAATAAACAGTTATATGCTCTTTTTTGTCTCCCTCGTTCTTCTTTGCTGCTCTGCTGCTGCTATAAACCTCCTCTATCTCTCTCTCTCTCTCTTATGTCTTCTCTCTCCTCGTCTCCCTCCCCTCTGCTGGTGCCAGATTCACACAACTACAGATTGTATTTGTTCCAAAGCGTAACTAGCCCGGCTCCTCCCTCTCTTCTCGTCTGTTATGTCTCCTCCCTCATGTCTTTTACAATCATGGATTTTTTTCTTTGCCAGGTCTTGCGTCCCACCCGCAGCCCCTCCCTGAGTTACTCCCTTTTGTCCATCCCTTATCCTGTTGTCTCCTCCTCCGACCTCTTGAAACTTGTTGAAATTTAATGGCTTTCCCTAAAATCGCTTGACCTCGTGTGTGTGTGTTGTGTGTTGTGTGTGTGTGTTGTGTGTGTGTGTGTGTGTGTTTGTGTGTGTGTGTGTGTTAGCATACAGTGTTCGTCTGGATGGTGGAGAAGGTGGATTTCTCCGTCATACACCAGCTATCAATAGGGTACATAGAAGAGCTAGGAAGTCGCATATGAAGTGTGTGCTTGTAATTGGAAACAAACTGTTTCTCTAAGCTCAGACAGTGTACTTACAGCAGCTGTGCATTCAAATGCATA